TTTATGGGGATTATCTAATGAATGATGCTGGGTCAGGTGGATAGCCTTCTGAATAAAAATAAATTCAAATTCCAATTTTGCACCTTTTGTAAAAAATTTAAGATATAATTAAAAATACAAAATGAAGGTCATAAATGTACTGGAAGAAAAATACAGTTTCTAAGTCTCAAAAAAGGACTTTTATATATGGCATAAAACCTAGAGGCCCTGAAAGAAAGGACTGATAAATTCAACAATAGGTACATAACTAGGAGAACTTCCAGTACGGAGACAACACTATATGTTAAAATCAAAGGAAAATAACATACTGGGAAAAGTGTTTCTAGCTCATAACAAACAAGGTTGGCTTATTATTTCTGTGCCCAAAGATTTATAAGATATGGTAAAATCTCAGTGCCCCTTGATCTAATGAATTTACTTCTAGAAATGCATCCTGCAGTTTTTCTATTTTGCACTGAATAGATACAAATAATACTCATTTCAGTATTCCTTGGAGATTGGAACCAATCTAAATATCTACTGTAAAGGGCTGGTTAATGAGTTGAGCTTCATCCATGCCAAAAAATACTAGAACATTTTAAGTAGAGTGAAATGGAATTCTATGCAGTGATATGCAGTTATCTTTTAAAATAAGTATAATAAAAGAAAAAAAGCAAGACATATAAGAGTGTATATGAATGCTCCTGTTTATGTGCAAATCTGCAGAATATACACGTGTATATTGGTGTATTTGCAGAATATTTCTGAAAGGATTCTCAAAGTGTTATCAGTGCTTGTTTCCCAAAAGGGAATGTAGGTATCAGGGAATGGACTGGATAAGGCAATTTTGAACTCTGTGCAGTGCATGTCAATGCCTAGGGCTCTTCTTCACCTGAACCCCCATTCCGGGGTATCCTCTTGCCGGACCCCACACCCCGACCTCCTCAGTGACAGACACCATTTTACCCTGTCCTCTGGAATGAACAGTCCTTATTACCAAAATTTATATCTTCAACCACTTTTCCAAATACTGCTCTTGCTTCCTTGTATTAGCAGAAAGATTCAGGTCTCTCAAGGACTTGAAACTTCCCCAACTGTCCTCTCAAATGGAGGCTGCCATACTTTCTGTAACTGATCCAACACCTCTAGCTGGCACTACTTGCGATCCTGGGTTATTGTTTTCACTCCTTGAGAATGTAACCACTATCTCACTGTCACTGTCTTTGGCACTACTCTTGTGATAAATATAAATGGTCTCTCAGTATTTGGTCTTCTCTCTTTCAAAGATCTTGACTTGCAATTTACTTCTTCTACTTCTTCCCTTAATAATTCTTGTTAAACAATGGTTCTTCAAGCCCAGCTCCAAGACTGACATCAGCATAATTCTCAATTAAAATAGAGCCCATCATCTCTGACCCAAAACTCTGGGACAGGGACCCAGAATCTGTGCTTTAAAAAGCCCAAGATTTGGGGGCAATTCTGATAAGTGTGCCACTCCATCATATCATCCTATTGTCATTACGGTAACCCTGAGTCTCAATTTCAGGCATCCTCCCGTCCCCCGCTGCAATTGGTCTTCTGGTCCACCAGACTGACTCCTGGCATCGCTAAAATCTTCAACCCCAGCTGTGACCACAATTGATTCCACCACTTTATTCCTAGTCATTTTCTTTTTTCATTTTATATCCTTATTTTCCCTTTATCCAACCACCATGTACTGCTCCTTGACATTTCTTTCAAATACTATGTGAAAAGAGCCAGTAGGTCCAGTCAGCCCTAAATTCAGAACATATCTAGGCTCTGGCTTTTCTTACACCCTCCATTGCACCCATTCTAGTCAAAGAACAGTCATTCCGAGCTGGGATCTTGCAACTGTTCTGTGTCAGCTTTTGGATCTGTTGTGGCTGCTGCCCACATAGCAGCCAGAGGGATCCTGTGAACACCCGAGGTTGTGTTGCTCAAGATTCACCGTGCTTGTCCCACACACCAGAAGATGGAGTCCTTGGGAGTGAAACTAGATCTTCTGCCTTCCCTGGTTAGGACATCACTTCCACCTTTGCCTCCCTTCTCATCCACTGCTGAGCTTGATATTTTTGTGTTTAGAACTCAGCATTACCTCGCATACCCTGCGTGCTTATTTATTGCTGTTTCCTGCCATGACAAAGGAAGCGTCATAAAGGCAGAGGTTTTTCCTGTTCAGCCTTAGTTTTTAGGACCTTGCCTGGCATGTACCAGGCATGTGCTGATTTATGAAAAAAAAAAAATCAGTGGAAGAAGAGGAAGAAATAAAAGTGGTTTTTGTGATAACAGAATGCCTTCCTGTGACTGCTTCTTCTTGAAAAATGAAAGAGTATAAAAATATTTCAGTAGTGTAAAAGGAGTGAAAAATTTATCAGGTAAACCATCTAGATATTTCATCTGATGATGCTTGCTGACTGGGGTTTACAGCTTTAATTTTTTTGTCCCTCGCATATGTTACTATAGATAGCCCAGTGCTTTACTTACTTAACCCCCATGGTTAAAGGACAGGGTTACTATCCTTGCCTGCAGGTTTTTTAACCTGCCCTGAATCCTATGTTGTACTTAGTAGTAACCTCTTTAGTCTCTTTTAAAGGGAGTAATGAGTATGGAATGAAAAGAAACAGAGTTTAAGAATATGTAAATATTTTATTCCATGTTGATTCTCACCAGATGGTTTTAACATCCATTACTTGTTTTTTGCCTAGATCAGTTATTATTCTGATGAGTAAAACTAGTGATTTAAAACTCTGTAAGTATTACATAATAAGACAGATTATTGGGGCTGGGGATTTAGCTCAGCGGCAAAGCGCCTGCCTGGCAAGCACAAGGTCATGAGTTTGATTCCTGGTACCAGAAAAAAAAAAAGACAGGTTATTGTTATATTACTATGAGGCAGATTTTTCCCTTCTTTTCCTTCATTTGCTTAGTGTCAGTGTTATTAATGGGATTGAGTGTTTAAAGAGTCAGCATAATATGGTGTATTACTGTCATGATTGCATTTTATGTTCAGGATTGGCCAGTGAAAGTCTCAAAAACTTGGGCCTTTCGTCCAAACTTTTTGTGTAAAATGGTTTAAGAACTAGGGAGCTGAGAAGCCAGAGGAGTCATTTGTGAGTATGTGGTGTGTGGCTTTGAAAAAGTGGTAGAATTTTGATTAAAATAGAGCTGCAGTGGAACGGAAAGGGGAAGAAGTCCTGAACCAAAGGAAGCCCGGCAGACCTGGTGTTTGGCAGGAATGCAGTGACCAGGATAAGGAAGTAGAAATGGACCCTAAGACCCTCCTGTGCTGACGAAGCATTTGCTTAGGCTGTTCTCATCACCAAGAATTTCCACCTGGTCTATTATCTAAGGAGTGAGACGAAATGCGATGAAGAAAAAGAATTCTAGGTGGTGAAAACAGTATAGGCCCAAAGCCCCCTCAAACATTCCCTTCTTCTGGAGGCTTTCCCAGATCTAAGTACAAACTAACTGCCCTCCTCTCCTCTCCTCCCGTCAAAGTTCGTGCCTTTCTGCTACCAATGTGCTGTCTGGATTTGTGGATGTGTCTTCCTCCTCCAAAGCATGCTCCGTGTCCTAAATACCAGATCCTTCTTCCCATGCTCACTAAGTGTTTTGTGACTGTGCGCGCGAGAAAGGAGAGGTGCTGGGGGTGGCATGGGATGGAGGACAGAGGTCTCAGAATGCCACCTTCGGGGTTTGGCCCTCTGGGGGCTGAGAGGCGGAGGATGCAATGGGAAGGAAGAACAGCCTGGGACTCTGCTCCAGAATCAGAGGATGGAGACAGGGTGTGGAGGTGGGGAAGCGGTGGTTACCAGGCTGGGCGTCTGGGAACTCACTCATACGCAGAGCTGGGGAGAGGCAGTGCCCGTGGAAGTGTCCGGGAGGTGTTCTCAGAACAAACACTGGCCAGTTTCCTGGGGAGTGTTTAAGGATGTCAGCAGGTCCCTCTCTTTTCCTCATCTACAACTCCTCCTGAAGTCCAGAAGAACTGGATGTGCTGTCGGAAGATTTTTATTAGACCAAAGATGCTGAGACATGGAACACTGTCTCCACTTGGGGTAGAAAACGCTGACTTTGGTGTAATGAACCTTTTCACTTATTTTTGGTAATGGTTTATTAAAAATGGATTGTTAATAACTGCTTTTGTGACCTTGGAACGTGGCCCTCTCAGAGCAGCTTACCATGAAAGAAACGGTTGTCAGCTTGCTTTTGGCGTCTGCCCCTTCCTAACAACAGAAAATTTGCCCTGCACCTGCTCCAACTGGGTTCTCAGTGATAAGCATCTTTCAAGCCCAGAAAATTGTAGTATCAAATCTCAGCCCCAACTGTGAGGCAGCACCATCATCAGCTCCCCGCTGAGAGGCGTTGCTTTCCCAGTTCCCAAGGGAGGAGTTTTTTCTCCCCTGGCCCCCTTTCCAGCGTGAACTCTGACCTAAACCCTCCTCCTAGCTCCCAGCATGCATTGCCCTGGGTGCTGATTGTGACCCAGCCTGGCTTACCCAGTCCTGCTGTGGGCTCATCAGGAGGTCAGGCGTCAGTAGCCCTGGGGTCACTGTGCTGCCTGATTCCGATAATGAGCACATTTATCTGTGGAGAGGAAGAGGAGCCTTCTGTTTGTTGCAGCCCATCGCTTTCCTCCTGAAACAAATGGGAAAGTCGTATGTGGTAGTTTTATCTGCGCTTTGGTAAACATGCATAAACACTGCCCAATATTCACCAAGTTTTGTATTTAATTACACCTCTCTTCATAAATTAAATGCTTTGTGGTAACTCATAATTTCTTTCAAGAAAAATAAACCTGTCTCCCTACTGAGAAAGCATACATATTTTAAGTTAAATCCATACTAAGGACACTCATAAGAATTTTGAGTAAGAATAACAAATAGTATTTAAGTATGTGTAAGTATATTTAGGTACATTCTAATAGACTTAAGTGTGTCATTTTAAAGGGAAAGATAACAGGGTAACAAGACATTCTAACTTCCTCCTCTTCCTCTTAGGTTTTTCAAACAGGCCAAAGTCATTAAAAATATTCCTTAACCCACAAAGTCACAAAAAAGAAGCTTCACAAGTGTATTATGAGAAGGTTGAGCCTCTCCTGAAGCTGGCAGGAATAAAGACTGATGTGACAGGTAAGTCATTTCTGGTACATCATTCACCATTTCAAACACACACACACACACACACACACACACACACACACACACACACACATCCACCCAAAGCAAGCTAACTGGAATTTGTTCTTCATCTAAACTTGGGAAGCTACTTGTAAAATCTAAAGCTTTTCTAGGTGCTTCCCTAATCTACTGCAGCCCATTCCAGAGGTATTTGTTTAATTGTGCTAGTAAAACCTCAGTAATTTTTCTTTAGACTTTTTTTCAGACTTTAACAGTTACTTGGTATGATTTTCAAGGAAACTGTACACTTGTCGATATCTTCCTAAGGTGCTTGCTCTTTACACTTTATTTCTACAGGGTGGAAGCGGTGGACTTTGGCTCACACAGTGGCTGCCTGTCCAGGAACTGCTTCTTTAGGTTGTTTTTGTTCTGACTCTGACCCCTGCTGGTTAGGTCAAACCTAAGCACTCAACTGCTGGGTTTTAGTTGAATTTGGAGAAACCAGAAGCTTAAATGTTATTGTACAGAAGATTGCACTTAGCTTTTTGTGAAGGAAAATGGACATTTAAGAATGCAAACATTAATAGAGAGAAGATTAGTAAGAACCTCTTAGTAAATTCAAGGACCAAATTCCTTTGCTGCTTTGAGACAGCCTGTGGCTGGGATTGGGAAGTGTTACTGCTATCAAGAATGAAGTCTTCTTGCATTGGTTTTGTGGAGCTTTTCTAACACAGCAGACATTTGCAAAAAAAATTGAATTGAAGAAGAATATTGACTACTAATCTACTCGGGAGATAAGCGTAGAATACACTGGCATTTCCGAGTCCAGTGATATGGGTAAGGGATCCAGAGGGACCTGTGCCCTGACGGAGGTGTGACTCACAATGCAGATATCCAAGTCATTAAAGTTTGGGAACTTGATGGCTTGGGGTAGAAGGAAGCTCCTAAAAGAGTGGAAGGTTTGTGGGAAGGTCAGCCACCCCAGAAGATATTACTACAGTGGAGGATAAAGAGAAACTATCATGCAAAACTCAGGAAGAATTTCTGAATTAAAATAAAGCTGAGCTTAAGAGGTTAGCCTTCCATGTCTGTGACCTTGGGCTTGCTTATAGGAAATTTACAAGGACAACAGAAGCTTCAGATCTATCTTTACTTTCTGCAAAAGATTTTCAAAGATTGGCTGGAGACTTGAGGTTATTATTTGGATGAGAAATTAAAAGTTGAGTAAACTTATTTGGCAATTTAATCACATCAAATAGTTGGTATCTTTCATATCTTTCATGTACATTACAGTTTGACACATATTAGTACAGTATGTATCATTCATTCAAGTGTCCCTCATTGAAACCTTACATGAAAGCTCATACCTGTATTCCCAGCTACTCTGGAAGCGGAGGCAGGATGATCACCTGAACCAAGATTCAAAGACCAGCCTAGGCCTCACAGTAAAACCACATTAAAACAAAACAAAACAAAAAAATGAAAAGAGAACAAAGAGAAGGAAGGAAAAGGAGGAAAGAGATTCTTGTTAAATGCTTTCTCTGTCTTAAATATTGTAGCTATGTGCAGAATGCAAGATGAATAGTCTATCATACCCAATCTGGAGTTACTTTCAGGGCGTTAGGGATTCAAACAGATATGTAAAACTAAGTGTTTAAATTATGGCATACATGAAAGAACTGGGATGTCTCACGATAATATTAATTTTGATTGGAGGGCTCAGAAAAGCATGCAAAATGGAGTTTTATAAAGGAAAGAAAGGCAAAAGATAAGGAAAGGAAGCAGAGCAAGCTTGTACCAATGGAGAGAGAGAGAAAGAGAATTGAACTCAGTATCTAGGGAATTTGGTCCGTAATCTTGCTTTCCAGTTTTAACTTCATGCTAAATTTGGTTCCCTCCATCACCATCAAACAGCTGCCAGTACATCGGACCTTGTCTTTCTATCCCTGGCAGTGTGGGGAGAAGTTATAAGTGTGTGTGACGGAGGGAGAGCTGCTGTGCTTTCATCCTGAAGATGGAGTCACATTTCCCTTTGCGCTAACTGTGTAAATGGAGTATTGTGCCACCAACTTAGAGAGTCATTTCCTGAGCCACCAAGACTCTTCCCAGGAACTGAGGCCAGGCTCCCTTTCCTGAAAGTTGAAGATGCCTGAACTGAATCTGGATTCCAGCAGGGAGAGAAAATGGCAGAATAGCTTCTGAGAAGACCCAGGTTCTGACTACGGATGGACCTTTGTGCTGTTCTCAGCGGTTGATTCATTTTGTATTGATCCACAGTTGGTATAAATATTTCATCATTGCATTCTAGCCTGGTTTGGCAAGACGATTGCAACCACAGAATAAAATTAGAACGGGAGAGATTTGGATAGAAGAAAACCAGTACATGAGGCCAAAGCTATGGCAGAGGATATGATGGGAATATGCTTTCTTCCCTACAGTTGTATTGGAGAGAAGAGTAGTATATTCTAAGTTTTCCCCCTAAATTTCTAAAGATTATTGAATGTTATATTCAGCTTAAAGAAAATTAAAAAGTTACATAAAGCAAATACAGAATTTATTTTTGGGTTTGTGCAGAATGGCTGACTACTACGGCCTAACACTCCTCCTACAGGCAAAATTATAAAATTACATCCTTTGCTTATGAAACCGTGTTAGGGTGTATACAGTGTTGGCTAGATATTTACAAAAAATTTTCCCATTTTGTGTAGACTGAATAAAGCACAAGGATACTCAAAAAGTTTTAGCCTCCCTGCCTGTAGCACAATGTGATTTTGTGAAACAACTTTGTATATATAAAATGCAATAGAAATATGGTTTTAAGGGTTTTGGCTTCATTTTCCTAACATTATGGAATAAAATGCAATTCACCCTTTATTTGAAAGAAAGACATATGAAGAGCAATGCAAGGGTACATCTCTTCTGCATGTCCACTGCTTTAACATTTTGTGCACTAGTGAGGTTTGTATTTATTTATTTATTTTGATTTTATGAGATAGAGTCTCACTTTGTAGTTCAGGCTGGCCTTGAACTCACCATGTAGCTCAGGTTGGCCTTGAACTCACAGCGATCCTCCTACCTCAGCCTCCCAAACAAATGTTGGGACCACAGGCATGTGAGTTCTAATGTAATAAAAATAACACAATAAGTTCTATATGATTAGTTCATTAGGAAATATAGGGCTATAGCAACATGAGATTTGATTTGAAAAATTTCTGCAGGATATATATATGTATGGAATTTACCCATATATACAGAATTTATCCATATATGTGTAATTTTCCCATAAATTTGTTTTAATAATGGATTTTATCACATTCCTTAAAATTTATTTCTTTCATTTTGGATTGTGCTGAAAGCCTAAGTATACATCATGTTTTGGCTAAAATTTAAGCTAAATTTGCATCTTTAAGCTAAATGTGCATCTGACCTGTCCACTAATACTACCTCCAGTGTAGTTTCAAATCTAATAATGACATCAAAAAAATGCTGAAAAAACATAGAGGAAACAAATTATTTTTCTCTACTAACCAATTTCTACTAACCTATTCTAGTATCAGGATCAAAGAGGAGCATAAGTGATAAACCCACGCTGGTGTATGACAGTCTCTTTCCCTCATTCCCAAAGTAAAGCAGACTTCACAGATTATACATTAAATGCATGAGAGGTATTTTGAGAGGTCACTGCCTCATAGGATAATTCATAGGACAATAAACGAGAAGGTCAAGGCAGCAGAGAGAGAATCAGCCCGAGAAGAAGTCTGGGATATAGCTCATTTTCCCCTCGCAGCAGAGCACAGGCATGTGGTGCACCTTGTGGGCGCCCCCTCTAGTCCCGGTGTGGCCTGCACCAGGGGCAGGATGCTGTCACTGGGCACTTGTCTGAATTCTGTTCTGGCTTCCTGGGCCTTTGTCCACATTAGTCAAAGTACTTCCTCTGTGCTCACAAAACACCCTTTCTTCTGGACTGATCCAGCGCAAGCTCACCTAGCTCCTTGATCTGGGCCCTGGCAACATTGCAAATCCACCTGTCCCCTGGGCCTTGGCCCTTTGTGTAGGTGTAAACTGCACATGAGAAAGAACTTGAGAGCTCACACTTGAAGTTACTATCTACTGGAGCTAATGCTGTCCTTCGTAGTAATACGCAGTGAGTGCTTCCTATCTTGCATGTAAGTCGTTGAAACATTTGCGGACAGATAACCCACCTGTCTGCTCCCAATCTCTCTTATCCGTCACATGCACATCTGCCTTCTTCAGTCACTCTGTGCATGAACAAAGGTGCTAGAGCTTATCATGGTCATTGTCATAATCACGGGCGAAGACGCTTTTCTGAAAGCAGCTGTGATCTCTGCCAGCACAGCGCCCATCGCAGTGCCTGCTCACCAGATGGCTTTATCTCCTGGGCACAACTGTCCAGTAAGTGGATGTTCTCATTTTGATTTTTGCTTTTGTATTGGCCGTTGTGCTCCTTTTTCTTCTTGTAGCATAATGCTTTTAACGTACTGATTTTAACAAGTCTCTTTGTGTTCATTGTCTTTGGTTCTTTATGGCTCCACCTAAAGCCTTCCATTCACTGGAAATGCCTCTTCCCATTCCTGATCTTGCCCAGCCTAAAACTAGGCAATCTGATGAAACTGAGTCACAAAATGTATTCATAGCCACAGACGGTGGCGAAGCTGGGGCACATGTGCCTCAGCGGGCTGTTTACTTCATGGAGAGGTCTAAAGGGGTCTCTGTCACTTGGTCTAAAGCATTCCTCTTTTCATTTTTACTTGCATTTTAATAAAAATCTGCATAGTAACTTTCATGCATAATAATACAGCTAGAGAGAGACAAAATTCTATGTCAAAGATTGTTTCATTACCCCTTAATTGTGAGTGCATACGGCCAGTCCTGTTTTCAGCACTTACATGTGAGTTAAGAAGTTGGAAATTTAAAAAGAAGTTGGAAATTTTATCCCTAGAGCCAAGGAAGAGTCACCCATAGGATTTATATGAGGAAGCGGCATCATTAAATATGTTTGTAAAAGTCACTGGCTACAGTGGAATGGAAATTGGAGGGAGACTAAAGAAGAGGGCAGGGAACGCATGAAAGATGCTCGTGACCAGGCCCGGAGCGCTGGCCTGGAGGGATGGAGGGACGGTGCAGCACAAGTAACACTAGGAACATCGGTGCTGGCCATGGAGTGGATCTGGAGAGTGGATGAAAGCAATAATCCACGACAAAGTCATTTTCCCATCTTAGGGAATGGATGTTGGGACACACACAAAATAACATTTGAGAGAAAAGATATTTGAAGCAGGACATTTTCAACTTACGGAGTTTGAAATACTTGTAGGCCAGGGAAGGAAATGATATCTCAGTATCTTATCTCAGAATTTTATCACTGGAATAATATTTTTTTCCTATCTCCAAATCAGATCTCATCTGGTTTTATTTCAAATTCAATACCAACATTCAATATCAGACTCCACATTACTGTCCCCCAGTTTTGTTTTCCTCGGGGAGAAATTTTTTTTGCTGAGGAGAGGGGGATCCCAGCAGTAGGAATTGTGTCCAAAGACCAATGAACAGCAGAGACTCCAGATCTTCTGAACAGAAAGGGCGTGTTGTGTATCTCCAGCCCACAAACTCCTTGAGGCCAAAGGGAGTATTCTTTTTGATCATTCTGCTTTAAATATGTTTTATAACTGAGTATTTTAAGTTTTGTGCACTTTTTGTTCTACTTCAATAATTTTATTTAACTTATGATATACCACATGAAAATTCTACTCCTGGACAGGGTGCATTACTGATAGTCAAGTTCTACTTGAATGATAAAAAATTAGACTCTTAATTTTTTTCTAAATAAAAATACCATTCAGCCATAACATAATCCTAAAGCTGATTTTGTATTTGATCTAAAAAGGCTTACCAAAGTAAGCTTTGGTATAAAATCAAGAGTTGATACATCGACTCTAAACATACATATTTCTTCATAATGTCCTTCATTTTTGTGTGCATGCAAGACATTTTATTTTTTTGCATTGTATGGCTACAACTACTTGCTGTGGCCACAAATGATACATCTTTTATGATAACATAATCTTCCAAGTTTATTAATATTAATATTTTATATTTAATTATACTTTCTTCTGATTAGAATTTAATAGAGAATGGTTTTACCATATGAACGTTAATAGCTTTTGAGTAGGCTGTGAGAGAATTACAATGTAACACTGTTGGATACAGAATGATTCTCTTAGACACCAAGACTAGTAATTTTAACAATATCTAAAAACATTATAGGAAAAGCTTGAACCGTGCTGGCACCAGGGACAGACAGGCATGAAAGATTAATGTAATCTTGCATATAATGATGCACATTCTTACACAAAAATTCCATCTGCAGTGTCATGTCAGTCAGCAGAAATCTTTGATGGGTGGGTACAGCTGGCTTGCCTCTTCTGGCAGAGCTGTCCTAGAAAATGCTAAATGTGGTTGTGATGCTTGGTGCCATCTGCAGTGTGCCCATTTATCCTGCCTTCACTGGCATTTGCAATACTGCGTAGGGCATCAGTGACTGTGGAGACAGCAATCCAGTGTGACAGATTCATTTCCTCGGAGGATGCAGGCTGTGGTGGGCCTATGTGCTACCCTTTTCCCGAGCTGGGTCTCTTCTTATCATTGGTGTTGGCTTGACTTTATATTTTCACATCCAACTCCTTTTTTTTTAGCCTAGCAGTTCCATGTACACAATCTTCTGGTATGTAAATCTTACACCAACCTTTCCACTAATTTATGCATGTAAGGTTGCCAAAGCGATTTAACATTGACTGTCCGATGCCAGCTAATATGCTGTATTTTCAAAATACTTCTGCTCCTCAGCTTCTGATTTAAAGGACTTGTGTCTTATTTAGTGAATACTAAACAGACAGGCACCAAGATAAATCTCTAAGCAGTGTGTGTTGGATATTCTCAGATGATTTATGTAGTTGGAACAGATATGTGACCCTCTTTTACATAAAGCTATAAAACACACCAAGCAACTAACATTTAATCCTCTTTCCTATGATTAAAATATAAATATTCAAGAATAAATGTTGTTTTATGACCTGACCATATGTTAATCATATTCTCTTGCCAAACCCAGTTAAAAAGATATAGAGCATTATTTGAAACTTTCACTGTGTGTGTGTGTTTTTTTAACAGTAACAGAATATAAAGGCCATGCACTGTCCCTGCTTCAGGAATGTGAACTCCAGGGATTTGATGGGTATGTTCCATTATTACCCTCTGTATATCATATGGCTTGTGTTAGTAAATGTTGTATTATTTTTTTTAGCCATACATTTGTGATTTATAATTCTTAAACATTTGTGATATATGCAATGAGGCTGTTTTTTCAGATCTGTGCAAAAAGACTGCATGAGAATATAGCATGGCATCCAACTTTCAGGATCTAGCCCAGAAAAGCAAAAATAGAAATCATGTTATAAATGTTGGAAAATCATAGGGCACTACCCGGTATTTACTTATGTGTACCTGTTTGCATTTATAATTCTTAGTTTTGGGCTTTTACCATGTATCTAGAAAAACATTGATGGGTTACTATTATCCATTATCCATTGATCCTCTTTTGCTAATGTATTGATAGTTTTAATAGTTACCAGTGGTTAATTTAGCTCTGGTTGACTGGGATAGATATTTTATAATCACAAATGTATTACTTTCAAAATGAAGAAAAGATAGTAATTTTAATTATCTCATAATTTAGTGACTATCACATAGATGTGTTATTCATAGTAGGCTCTGGAAACTGTCTGCAGTGTATTGGTGGAGAATGCAGAGATTACTCACCAGCATATGAATGTTAAAAAGACAAGTAGTATACATTAATAGCCCTTTTTAAAAATCAGGTGAATTGATTTGCTAAGAGTTATGGGTTGATACATGACTAAAATATATTCCTTTAGGGAAGATTTTATTTTTTTGCAAGAGTGAATATGTGAGAGCTTTAAAAAATTGGCAAGTGTGAAAATTACTTCTCTTGCATGGTGATGGGCTGGGAGCAACAAGAGACAGAGTCAGGAAAGTGAAAGGCTTTAATCTCACAAAGAAATACTAGGATGGGGCTGGGGATATAGCTCAGCAGCACAAGCGCCTGCCTGGCAAGCACAAGGTCCTGAGTTTGATTCCCGGTACCAAAAAAAAAAAAAAAAAGAAAGAAATACTAGGATGCATGGAGCAAAGTGATTCCATCAGAACAGGCCATCCAGAGCACTGTTTTTCAGAAGTGCTTAATATATTTTGATTAGGAAAAAGTGGCTGGTGAGGATGAAAGCATTTGGTAAGTAAAAGATGATTTAGTAAAAAGGCATTTAATGAAGGGGGCTCAACTGACGTAGCAGTATTATACAAAAACTGAGGATCAAGTGTATGAGGTCGGTAATTACTTTACAACTTTACACTTAGAACTACACAGAAGCATGAATGGATTACATTTAGGAAATTATCTTGAAGGAATGTTTAAGAAAAAGTAACAGAGAGTCATGCCCTCAGCCTACCTACTTTAATATGCCACGTGCGCCAAACCCTGAGTACATGCGGGTAGATGGATTACAGAGGAGTCCTTGCTTTAAATCATGGTTATATGAATCTAATGGCAACTGTCACAGACATTAAACCTGGACTTGCCCACCAGCAAAGTGAAGTCTCCTGCAGAATGTGGTATCTATAGGTAGATTCTACTGATAGTTACACTGAGGCAAGAATTAGAACAAACTTCACAGAAGAATGGCTATTGCTCAGTGCACGGTGATAATGTTTTTCTCTTTACTTGAATATTTAAATCCTTATTTCTCAGGCAGATGTCCCCATTCTGCACTGTGCTGCTAAACAATACACAGATCCTTCAATCATTACTGCTGTATTCTGAAGCCAAATTGTTTGGCCTGACCATTCTGTGAATTGAATCCTGTAAATCTACTGTTTGCAAACCCTGTAGTACGCTGCTTTACTTTGGACTCATGATAGTCCAAAATAAAAGTAGCTAATGATGGTTACTTTGGACTAACATTTCTGTTAGAAGTCAGCTTGTTGTGAAATCCTTTAAATAGTTCGTTTATGTTCATAGGTTCAGTTTTTCTGGTAGGATGTGTGTGGTGGTTGGGATATTCTCTTAGCAAAAGGTTAATTTTAAGTACCGGTACTTAGAAATAGATAGAAAAGGTATGGGGAGATGAAAAGGAACATAATTTCATTTTGTACTTCACAACAGTAATTTTCTACCAAGTGGAATTGTTTCAAAGTGAGTGTTCTACATAGGTGAATTCCCTAACCTTAAACCTGTTTGAAGAGTGGCCTTAGAAGCACTTTCGAAACAATTTATAGAAATGATTGAAGGATGATATGAGGTAACAGAGTGTTCCTTTGTGTGAGGGAGAAGCTGTACTGGTGCTTGAACCTGGGAGTGCAGACATGGTAGCAGGTGCTCCGTATCCCTGGCCCATAATTGTTATTTTTTAAGTTTTGAGACAAAGTCTTGCTAAGTTCTCCATGCTGGCCTCAAACTTTGCAATCCTCCTACCTCAGCTTCCTGAGTAGCTAGGATGTTATTTCATTTTGATGAGAAATGGAGTCACATTCCTTCAAGAACCTGAGCCATCTCTGCTTGACTGCAGTCAGGTGGTGTAGGTAGGAAGTGATTGGGCCAACACTAGTGATATCTAGCACTTTCTAGACACAGGCCAGGAAGGTTATGATCCCGGATTCACTGTATATTATTCAGCAAAGCAAAAATAATCTGGCAAATGATGTTTAAGAAATGCAATTTCCTGGCCAGGCATGGTGGTGCACACCTGTAATCCCGGCACTCGGGAGGCTGAGGCAGGAGGATTGTTGCGAGTTTGAGACCAGCCTGGGATACAAAGTGAGCTCAAGGCCAGCCTGAACTGCACAGCGAGACCCTGTCTCAAAAAAAGACCAAAAAAAAAAAATGCAATTTCCTAAAATTTTAGAGTTTAAAAAAGTCAAGTTATGTATGTTTCTGTGAAGACACGTTGTGACATTTCTAAAGCCAACAGAAAGAGCATATGGTACTGATGACAGCTCCTTCCCCACTGTAGTACATTCTAGTGGCACTCAGGATCCACTGCTAAAGCTTGGAGGGGTTTCTGAGTCCGTATCACCCTGCTTTCCACTGGGTGTGAAGAGGTGGTTTTGTAAGGGCAAACAAAGGAGTGGAATGAGTTGCATATACTACAGGCACAAACCGTGGCCTTTATTCATGTGAATATAGTTAAACCAACCTGTTGCCTTTACACAATTGTAAATATAGTATTTTTTTGCTATTTGTTTCCTAATCCTTTTCTGATTTTATTGAATTACAGTTTTCTTTTTTTGTTTATTTTAACATTAAGTAGATCCACAATGATGTAGACATTATTTGGCTAATATTGACTTTTTATCAACTTGACCATGAGATCTGTGTTATTTACTAGGGTAAAAGTAAAATCTCCTTTCTTTTTTTTTTTTTTTTTT